CTCTCTCCTCTACACTTCTCTCTTCTCCAGGTGCATATATGCTTACTATAACCCACTTTTCACATCCAACCTTTATTTTACTCCACATAATCCTTGAATTAATACATTTATACTCCCTCTTTTCTTGCCATAGCTTATCCTTCAACATTATTGCTACTCTTTCTTTAGATCTAACTCTATTTGAAACCTCTGACCTAATCCCATTTACTTCTCTCCACTGAAACTCTCCCACCCCCTTCAGCTTTGTTTCATTTAAAGCCAGGACATCCAGCTGCTTCTCATTCATAGCATCCACAGTCATCTCTTTCTTATCATTCGCACAACATGCACGCACATTCAGACATCCACTTTGACAATTTTCTTGTTTTTCTTTTTAGTAATTATTACAGGAAAACGGGTTACTAGCCCATTGTTCCCGGCATTTTAGTTGACTTTTACAACATGCATGGCTTACTGAGGTAAGATTATTAAGATGAAATCAAAGAAAACTCAGATGAGTGTGTATAAATAAATGTGTACATGTATGTGTAATGTGCCCTAAGTGTAAGTAGAAGTAGCAAGACGTACGTGTAATCTTGCATATTTATGAGACAGACAAAAGACACCAGCATTCCTACTATCATCTAAAACAATTACAGGCTCTTGTTTTATACTCACTTGGTAGGTTGGTAGTACCTCTCTGGGTGGTTGCTGTCTACCAACCTAATACCTACAAGAAAAAGAACTTTTTTTTTTTTTTTTCTTTTTTTTTTTCTTTCTTTCCCCAACAAACCAGCCATATCCCACCAAGGCAGGGTGGCCCAAAAAGAGAAACGAAAGTTTCTCTTTTTAAATTTAGTAATTTATACTAGAGAAGGGGTTACTAGCCCTTCCCCTGGCATTTTAGTCGCCTCTTACAACACGCATGGTTACGGAGGAAGAATTCTGTTCCACTTTCCCATGGAGATAAGAGGAAATAAACAAAAACAAGAACTAGAAGGAAAATAGATGAAAACCCAGAGGGGTATGTATATATTTGCTTGTACATGTATGCATAGTGTGACCTAAGTGTAAGTAGAAGTAGCAAGACATACCTGAAATCTTACATGTTTCTTCTTCTTTCAACAAACTGGCTGTATCCCACCAAGGCAGGGTGGCCCAAAAAGAAAAACAAAAGTTTCTCTTTCTAAATTTAGTAATTTATACAGGAGAAGGGGTTACTAGCCCCTTGCTCTCAGCATTTTAGTCGCCTCTTACAACATGCATGGCTTACAGAGAAAGAATTCTGTTCCACTTCCCCATGGAGATAGAGGAAATAAACAAAAACAAGAACTAGAAAGAAAATAGCAGAAAACCCAGAGGGATGTGTATATATATATGCTTGTACATGTATTTGTAATGTGACCTAAGTGTAAGTAGAAGTAGCAAGACGTACCTGAAATCTTGCATGTGTATGAGACAGACAAAAGACACCAGTAATCCTACCATCATGTAAAACAATTACAGGATTTCGTTTTACACTCACTTGGTAGGACAGTAGTACCTCCCTGGGTGGTTGCTGTCTACCAACCTACTACTGTCTTTATTATAATTATTATATGAATTATGGACAAGAGGTCCAACCAACATGTACGTTCCACTGTTTTGGTCACTAGTTTTGGTGAGGTGGATCAGTGCTTCTAAAATTCTGCATCTGGTCCCATCATTCTTGAGGTGTAACGGCTGTCCTCTTCCTCAGTCCATGACACGAGAATGAAGGTTGTGATGGACATGCTTGCATTGCTGATTTTTATTCTTACTGCAAGTATATTTATGTTCCTGATGGTGTGTCTAAAGGTCTCTGCTGGTCTTTCAACTTAGAATTTATCACAACATCATGGTATGCTATATATGCCTGCTGTGCAAATATGTAGTTCTGGGTTCAGGGCTTTTGGTGATCTCTTGATAGTTTTGGTATTAAGGACTGCTGCAACCACATTGACTTTTCAGAGAATTGGGTCATTGGTGATGGTAGTCTACCCTGTGGAGAGTACCAATCATCTACCAATGTTGGAATCTTCTTTGGGTGTGCTGTGAATGAGGATGGCTTTCTGTTTGCAGGAGTGGATAATGTGCATTGGGGATTTTAAGTTGAATACCACCTCAGTATATTCTTGTTCTTCTAAAAGATATTCATCACTGCAAAATCAGAGTGCTTGGAGCAAGGAATCTGTGATAATTTCTCTCTCGGTTATGAGGTCATGGTGGGAAAAATAGTGTATTAAGTCATTCGTATTGCTCTCCCAATGATTCGATGTGTGATTTGTCTTTCTCTGAACCTGACCTCATGGTGCTTGTCTGTTGTATAAGGCTGTGTATTTGCCCTTTCCTGTATACTACTTGATAAAGCCCAGCCTTGTGTGAAACATTGTATTAAAAGGATCATCTGCTGCCAGTGTCTTCATTACTGCTTCTCAGCTCTTTCTGTTGTGTAACAACCAGGCCTTAAAATTTTCATTGCATAGATTGGGAGTAAGTTAATACATTGGTAGATAAATTGCAACCTCTTCCAAGTTTTGAATATTTTTTTTTGGTCATAAAAGTGCCATGTGTGCACAAGTATATTTAGGTTTACACCTATGTGTAGACAAGATGATGATGTCCTTAACCATCTTATGGGATTATTCAGCAGTAATTCTAAAGGGCTGCTAAATGGTTAAACTGTATGCAAAAGATCTCCCAAATAGCAGATTTCCCTGTGTTGTAAAGATTTTTAAAAATAGTAAATAAGTAGATGCCCATTGTAGAGAAGGGAATAGAAATTTTGTATAATTATTTATGGCTTGTGTAGTAAGAAAATTTAATAGGAGGAGAATAAGTACCTGTAAGTACATGGAACACAGAAATGTATTGTTCTAAAAACATAAGATGGGAGTAATTTGACTTGAGCAGACAGAAGAGAGCGAGTGGTGTCAGTTGTAATGCTGGTATTTACAAGATAACCAGGTCAGTCCATTAAAAAAATAAAAATAGGGGTTGTAAAAGAAGTAAATGCTAGGGTGTTGGGGAGAGGGTGGGATTAAATTATGGGGAATCTAATACAAAATGGGAATTGACACAGTTACTTTTTGCTGATGATACTGTGCTTATGGGAGATTCTAAAGAAAAGTTGCGAAGGTTAGTGGACGAGTTTGGGAGTGTGTGTAAAGATAGAAAGTTGAAAGTGAACATAGAAAAGAGTAAGGTGATGAGGGTATCAAATAATTTAGATAAAGAAAAATTGGATATCAAATTGGAGAGAAGGAGTATGGAAGAAGTGAATGTTTTCAGATATTTGGGAGTTGACGTGTCAGCGGATGGATGTAAGAAGGATGAAGTTAACCATAGAATTGATGAAGGAAAAAAGGTGAGTGGTGCATTGAGGTATATTTGGAGACAAAAAACATTATCTATAGAGGCAAAGAAGGGAATGTATGAAAGTATTGTGGTACCAACACTTATATATGGGTGTGAATCTTGGGTTGTAAATGCTGCAGTGAGGAGGCAGTTGGAGATGGTGGAGATGTCCTGTCTAAGGGCAGTGTGTGGTGTAAATATTATGCAGAGAATTCGGAGTGTGGAAATTAGGAGAAGGTGTATAGTTAATAAAAGTATTAGTCAGAGGACTGAAGAGGGGTTGTTGAGGTGGTTTGGTCATTTAGAGAGAATGGATCAAAATAGAATGACATGGAGAGCTTATAAATCTGTAGGGGAAGGAAGGCAGGGTAGGGGTCGTCCTCGAAAAGGTTGGAGGGAGGGGGTAAAGTAGGTTTTGTGGACGAGGGGCGTGGACTTTCAGCAAGCATGCGTGAGCGTGTTAGATAGGAGTGAATGGAGACGAATGGTATATGGGACCTGACGAACTGTTGGAGTGTGAGCAGGGTAATATTTAGTGAAGGGATTCAGGGAAACCTGTTTTTATATAGCTTGACTTGAGTACTGGAAATGGGAAGTACAATGCCTGCACTTTAAAGGAGGGGTTTGGGATATTGACAGTTTGGAGGGATATGTTGTGTATCTTTATATGTATATGCTTCTCAACTTTTGTGTTCTGGCACCTCTGCAAAAATAGTGATTATATATGAGTGAGGTGAAAGTGTTGAATGATGAAAGTATTTACTTTTTGGGGATTTTCTTTCTTTTTGGGTCACCCTGCTTCGGTGGGAGACGGCCAACTTGTTAAAAAGAAAAACAAAATCTAGGGTTATATTGGAGAATAGGAAAGGGAAGAACAAGAATGTGCTAAAAGGCAGACTTGAGAGAGTACTGTTTTATGGTTCTTAAGGGTTCCCATAGAGGATTCAATAGTGGTCCTATAAGAAGAGTGTATTTCCATCCTTATAGACAAGATTGAATAGTCCTTGCAAGAAAGTATTTAGCAGGTCTATTATGGTCCTTGTAAAGGGGTATGTAGTGGGCCTTATGGTATATAATGATCTTTATCAAGTAGTGTACAGTTGCCTTTTCTTCTTATTGATACTTAGGTGTTCCCTTAAGAGAAGTACACTGTGTTTTTAGGAAAATTAGTAAGTATAGTAATCCTAGGAATGGTTGGAGGGAGAGGGGTAAAGGATGTTTTGAGTGCTAGGCTTGCACAACTGTCAGTCTTGTGTGAACACGTTAAATCTGAATGAATAGAGACGAGTAATTTTTATGGCTTGGTGTATTGTTGGAATGTGAGCAAGGTAACACTTACAAAGGGCCTCATTGGAACCTGTTAGTTGGACTTCAGTCTGGGATGTGGGAAGTGCAATTCCTGCACTCTGGAGGATGGGTGGGGAATGTTGCTGTTTGGAGGGCCATTCAAACTGTGATGACTGCATTTCTGACAGGACAGATGGTGGATAAATGATTGTGAATGTTTTCTTTTTTTGGGGGGGTGGGGGGAGTGGGGGTCACTCTTCCTTGGTGGGTGATGACCAGTGTGTAAAATAAAATTAGTGCAATATTACATGAAGGAGAATTTAATGATCTATGAATTAAAATAAAGGACTGCAATATTAACTATTTTCTGAGCAGAGAGCCAGATGAAACATCAATGGGTCGGCCAGTCAGTGTAAGACAACGTAATGTTTCTGCCAGTCCTATGTCATCTATTTCTTCTGATACCTCAAGTTCTAGACAACATCGAAAGAGGAGGAAAGACAGACAAATAGAGAAGTCTCCAGCTTCTCATGAAAGAAAAAGGTCAAAAGTAAGTTGAAATGGTTTAGTAAATGACTTGTAACTGTTATACTTTATATATGTTCTTGCCATATCTCCTGAATCACCTCATGTGTAATTTTATTACTTATACTGTACTATATAAAAGCTGCCATTTCTAAGACCAATTTGCTGCATGTGTTTGCTTCCTAATATATTCCTTATTTGTGATAATGACCTCATTATAATCCATGAGAAAGAGTAGTTTATAGTTCCTCTATACAGTGTGTGTTGTCTTTATTTTCATAAATCATACAATCCATTTTTCTCAGTATATATGTATATTTTTCAAAACATTCATGTTTTGTTGACCTGTCAAGCATTGCTTTGATCTCTATCCATGTACTGTATGCTCATACAAGCATTTGCTGTTACTTGCTCTTGACCACTGCTCCCACTACTTTCATTTTGCTTCATGTATTAGACATGGTAAATAATAAATCATTATCAGAATGAGCCATACTTGTAAATTTTCTTTGTTTAATTTCATGATTTTTAAACTTAATAGTATACAGAAATTTTTTGACAAGCTTATTTAATCTAATACAGAGCACATAAAATTGGCATGTGATAGGGTGTGTAGGGAAGCAGTATGGCAGATGTTGCAATAAAAAACTTTTATGTGATTAGTGAGGCACAGGTTAAGGTGTGTAGGAGAGAGAGAGAGAAATAGAGAGAGAGAGAGAGATAGATAGATAGATAGATAGATAGATAGATAGATATTATATTCTAGTAAGAGTAGGACTTAGACAGGGGTGTGTGATGTCACTATGGTTGTTTAATTTATTTGTAGACAGGGGTGTAAAAGAAGTGATGGCTAGGCTGTTAGGGAGAGATTTGGGATTGAAAGATAGTGATCTGGTATGGAGTGGAAGTTGTTACAGTTGCTTTTTGCCTATGACACAGTTCTTACGGGAGATTCTTTGAGATGTTGCAAAGGTCAGTAAATGAATTTGGGAGGTAGGCAATGAGAAACTGGATATTAGATTGGAGGGAGGGAGTATGGAGAAAGTAATTTGGGAGTGGTGCATTGAGGCTTCTGTGGAGACAAAGAACTTTATCCATTTAGGCAAAAAAGAGAAATGTTCCAGAGTATTGTTGCGCTGGGTGGGAAGCATGGGTCCTGAATGTTACAGTTAGGAGGAGACTGGAGGCAGAAGAGATGTCATGTGTGAAGGCATTGTGTAGTGTGAATATTATGCAGAGAATTTGAAATTTGGCAATTAGGAAGATGTGTGGAGTTATCAAAAGTATTATTCAAGAGGGTGAAGAAGGGTTGCTGAAGTGATTTTAACATTTAGAAAGGATGGAGAAAAATAAGATGTCCAGGAGGGCATATAAATCTGGGGTGAAGGAAGATAAGGTAGGGGCTGTCCTAGGAAAGGTTGGAGGGAGGGGGGTAAAGGAAGTTTCAGTTCTAGGGGCTTCAACATTCAGAGGCTTGTGTGAGCATGTTAGTGAGTGGAGGAAGTGCTTTTTATGATTTGACATGCTGTTGAAGGGTGAGTAAGGTAATATTTATGAAGGGAATAAAAACACACAATACCATGACTGAAACAGTACACAAATAAGCCGCACAGGGAAAACTGCAACTTATGATGATGTATCTGTCCAACTCAGACCATTAGCTAATCACACAGAGAAATGTGAAGGGAAGAGAGCCAGAATTTATATGAGGGTGTGATTGCTTGGGGACGAGTGGTAAAACGGGAGGAGGGAGTAGTTAGTAGTAGTAGTAATACAAGTGGCAGTAGTAGTTCAACTGTGGTAGAGGTGGAAATATGGAAATAAGGTGGTAGTGAAAGAAGGGGCAGAGAGTGGAGTGTTAGTGAAGAAATAGTAGCAGTAACAGTGGACATAGCCCAAAAGAACAAGAACAAGGACAGAATCCACCTAGGCAGAAGACAGGTAAGGCATTGAAAATATAGAAAAGGTGAAGAGGTAAGGAGAGGAGGACATAAGGATCAGGTCAAGTCACAAGTGTTCTAAGTTTAGAGAATTCGACAAAGTAATGAGAAATGAAGACATCTATAGAGACAAAGCCAGGACAAGATTCATATTAGGAGTATTGTGTATAAAGGATGCTTCAATAAGATGGCATCTGTGAAGGCTAGAAGAAGGGTAGACAGTTTTGGCAAAGGACCAGTTCTTTAGACATCAAACTTTCTTTTCGCCAAACTAATGCCTTTTGTAGAAATCTAGCTCGTACCCCTCCCCCTGCTGTTGATGCTTCTGGAATTTGCCGCATTTACTTCTGTTCTGTCCAATACTTTGGAGAAACTGGCTGCTCTCTTTCTGACAGATTTAAGAATACAAAAGAAGTGTTATCCTTGCTGACACTAACAATACTCTTTTAGAACAGTCATGTTAGAGATCACAGTCATCCTGTTAACTGGTCGTAGCCTTCACAGACGGTCTCGTTGAAGCATCCCATGTTCACAACATTCCTTAAATGAATCATTGTCTTGGCTTTGTTAATGTATATGCTAATTCCAGTCTTCAAACTGACCCAGCTACCAGTTATTTTGGTAGTCAGTCTTCCATACCATCTATTGATCACAAGAAACTGCCCTTTCAACCTTCAGAACTACCCTACTATGCATATGCCCAGAAGTCTGTAATCTGGCCAATTTTACGCTGTTTTCAACAAATTCCAGTTTAGAAACACAGCTTACAAAAAACACTAGGCATTCCAGCCACCAAAACAATCTTCTTTTTGTTCATTAATCATGTCTCCAGGCCTTTCTTCTATAATACATAGCCTCCATTTTGAATCCATTATTACACACAAAAATTCAGTGTTTTTTTCATTATTTCTTGGCTAATAAACCAAATCCATGAATCTTTGGTCATGGTTTAGGCCATCCCAATAATTGAAGCAGACAAGTAAAAAGCCATAAAACAGACCAGGGAGCTTACCCTTCCTCAGGAAAACTGGAAAAATAGACCTTTTCTGCCACTTTGAAGGCTATTTCAAACCACTTCTGGTATGAAACTAATCCGAATCTCCATTGCACTAGTGTGTCTTTACATCTGTTGGTGACTCCAATAAAATTAAAACTGCCCTAGACAACACTGCAAATTCAGTATTTTAACCCAACCACAAAGTCAGAGGTTAGCTGTTTCTATCAAGTCTGGGTTATTTGTATATTGTTCCTATCATACACTGCATGGGGCAGAATTTTTTTATACTTTGCACAGATGACCCATTCCCTCATGTCTAGGCCAAAATTTACTGCTCACAGCAAATTTGAGGGTGTTATGAATTGTGTAGCTCTGTGGCACCAACACTGATCTGCAGACATATATGCATAACTTCCAAACTACGAATTCTCTGCATTATATTCACACCACACATTGCCCTCAGACATGACATCTCCACTGCCTCTTGCAGCGAGGAGAAGGCTGGAGGCAGTGGAGATGTCATGTCTGAGGGCAATGTGTGGTGTGAATATAATGCAGAGAATTCGTAGTTTGGAAGTTAGGAGGAGGTGCGAGATTACCAAAACTGTTGTCCAGAGGGCTGAGGAAGGGTTGTTGAGGTGGTTCGGACATGTAGAGAGAATGGAGCGAAACAGAATGACTTCAAGAGTGTATCAGTCTGTAGTGGAAGGAAGGCGGGGTAGGGGTCAGCCTAGGAAAGGTTGGAGGGAGGGGGTAAAGGAGGTTTTGTGTGCGAGGGGCTTGGACTTCCACCAGGCATGCTTGAGCGTGTTTGATAGGAGTGAATGGAGACAAATGGTTTTTAATACTTGACGTGCTGTTGGAGTGTGAGCAAAGTAACATTTATGAAGGGATTCAGGGAAACCGGCAGGCCGGACTTGAGTCCTGGAGATGGGAAGTACAGTGCCTGCACTCTGAAGGAGGGGTGTTAATGTTGCAGTTTAAAAACTGTAGTGTAAAGCACCCTTCCGCAAGACAGTGATGGAGTGAATTATGGTGAAAGTTTTTCTTTTTCGGGCCACCCTGCCTTTGTGGGAATCGGCCAGTGTGATAATAAAATAAATAACAGACAGTGAAATGGTTAATACGTACATTAAAGTTGAGCAATGGAAGTACACTTTGGGCATACCAAAAAATACACGACTACAATAGTTTGTTAAGTTTAACTTTAAAGTTACAGTAATAATAAGTATTTTTTTTAATACATCATCTGTCTCCCACTGAGGCATTGTTAATTTATAATGATGACTACCAGTTTGGCTCAGTTATATTTTTTGATTCCTTCTGTATGCTGTTCACATGTTAAAATAATAAAAATAAGATAAATGGAAGCTAAGTAACAAAATGAATAGAAGTAGTAATTCATGCTTAATAAACTCATAACTATTAGTTTGTATTGTTACCGAGGTAGGAGGTACAGTTGAGTTATGAAATATACCTTAGGTAAAAATTGTAATAATTGAAATATAATACTCTTGTTACTTATAAATATGTTACAGATTTTTCTTTCATTGCATTCAGATAACTTGCTTGTTATATTATTTGAAATTTTGCTCATTCTAATAACAAGAATATAAGAAAAAAATTTGTCCTCGGCCATCCCCTACCAAGGTAGGGTGACTCAGAAAAGAAAACATTCACTGTCACTCATTCACTCATTGCCAGATTGCAGTCATCGCAGTTCATTTAACACTCTGAGTCGCAACATTCTCACCCCCTCCTCTGTAGTGCACTACCCACCTCCAGGACTTTAATCCAGCTAATCAGTTTATCTGAATTTCTTCATAAATATTACCTTGCTTCCACTCCAAAAGTACATCAGATTCCTAAAGCCACTTGTCTCCATTCACCCCAATCTAACATGTTCAAACACACCTGCCGGGTGTTGAAGCCCTTACCACTTAAAACTTCCTTTGCACTGTCCCCTCTAACCATTCCCAGAATGGTCCCTACCCCCTTCCCTTCCCTTTGCATTCTGAGTTTATACACTCTCTCTTGGTCATGTTGTTTTTTTCCCATTCTCGCTAAATGCCCAGCCCACTTCAAAAACCTGTCCTGCACCCTGTCAAGCCCAGTAATTATGTTATTATTACTAAATTTGTAAAAATCACCTTAAATTTCAGAGCAATAGTGAGCGTCAGCCTCTGGAGTACATGAGTTTAACTACTGGCGGCAGTAACTCATGTGATGGTTGCGACTTGCGTAGAAGTAGAAGGGATGGGAGTGTGGACAGTGAGAAGTGTACTTCCTCTCGAAAGAGAACACATGAACGGGATAGCAGGTACTTTTATAATACCTGTAATATTAAACTAGTTATGAAGCCTTGTTAGCATATTTCGGTATGTTTCTGTGATAAGCACAGAAAAAAATTCTTTGCAATCTTTAAAATCATGAATCACATTCAGCATTTACATTATTACTAATGATATCTATTATCCTGAAATGATTTCATTTAGAGCTTTGCCTCCATATTAACTGTAAAAATGTGACAATTTGACCATATTTTAAAAGACAGTTTGCTTACAATGTGTGGGCAAACTTTTGAATTCTGTTGCAGAAGGGAACTGTTATAGAAAAGTTTTATAAGGCTAAGTGAGAGATGGTATGGAGCTGGCTGGAAAGACTTGTCTGGTGCCAGTGTTGACTTATAATTCAGTATTTCTGCTATTCTTGCAGTAATTATTAGTAAATTTTCAAAGTAGATTTTTTCTTGGACAGAATGTGATGGCATGCAAGAGTGCAAAGAACTGAAATATTGGAAGAGGCTTAGGAATTGAACTGCACTCTTTGGGATTGCTGCTGTGTAAACATGTTCAGTACTATGCTTTTTGTGTTAACATAGAGGATAGAATGGGATTATTATAAAGAGGCCAAGGATGGTATGAACAGGGATGTAGCCTTTGGGGGAGGAAGAGAGGCAGTTACCTTTTCTCCTTAACCCCCAGTAATTTTGAATTAAAAAATCTGTGTAAATAATAATAGGCAATGTTGACGTAATAAACTTAAGCCTGCTTATGTCACCATTTGGCAGTCATATTGGACCTTTTCTGCTTATGAAATAGTATTATAGACCTCGGCCATATGTTATTGTTGACTGACTGATAGCCTATTTTAGGTGCTAGCCTTTCCTAAGAACTTACTTAAGCTATGAGCCTGATGATATGGTATAACCTTGATTTATGGAAGTAAAACTTTAAAACATGATATAAAGCTAGAAATCAGGTTGTTAAAATTAAATTTCTTTCTTTCTTTCAACACACCGGCTGTGTCCCACCGAGGCGGGGTGGCCCAAAAGGAGAAACGAAAGTTTCTCCTTGTACATTTAGTAATATATACAGGAGAAGGGGTTACTAGCCCCTTGCTCCCGGCATTTTAGTCACCTCTTACAACACGCATGGCTTACGGAGGAAAAATTCTGTTCCACTTCCCCATGGAGATAAGAGGAAATACACAAGAACAAGAACTAGGAAGATAATAGCAAAAAACCCAGAGGGGTGTGTATATATATATATGCTTGTACACGTATGTGTAGTGTGACCTAAGTGTAAGTAGAAGTAGCAAGACATACCTGTAACTCTTGCATATTTATGAGACAGACAAAAGACACCAGCAATCCTACCATCATGTAAAACAATTACAGGCTTTCGTTTTACACTCACTTGGCAGGAATGGTAGTACCTCCCTGGGTGGTTGCTGTCTATCAACCTACTACCTTTAAAAATTAAATTTGTAAAAAAGAAATATGATATTAATAGCTGAAGTGATTAAGTAATAAAGGCGTACAGGAAGTTAATGGTCGGAGAGGTACAAAGATTTAGCATGCAAGGTTGTAAAATGAATATAGAAGTACATTACAGTATTGTAGTTTGAACAAATAAAGTAAAAGATGAATGGTAAGATTGCAAAGAGCATTTGGGGTAGTGAGATTACTTGGGCTATAGTTAAAGGAGGGCAACTAATATTTTGGTAAGGGGTTATTGCAGGAACATACAAAGTAAAAGGTTCATTATGGTTAAGAAATTTTAATGTTTTCTTGGTGTGGTGAAGTTCCTGATTTGTGATAAATTTAGATCTTTAGATTTGTATTAATGTTGGTAGAATTACTGACTGTGTAAAGTAAAAGGACACAAATGCAACTAATGTGACATTTTAGTGTGGCAACATTTTGCTCTCCAGGAGTTTTATCAAGCCGTTACAAACAATACATGGACACGGAGGGTATATATAGGCTCAGAGTGAGGTGCAATTCTAATGGTAGTAGTAGTAGTAGTGGTGGTAATATAAGTTGTAATAGTAGTAGTAATACAATATGGTAGAACAATCAACTTGCACATGAGTAAAACGTTATAAAAGCTATTACTTGGGTAACGTAAAAATAGGTTAGACCAATATTTCTGTTGGTGGTTGGATCTGAGAAGGAACACTGAAACAGACATTCTCAGATCCAACCACCAACAGAAATATTTGTCTAACCTATTTTTATGTTACCCAAGTAATAGCTTGTATAACCTTTTATGCTTGTGCAAGTTGATTGTTCTACCATATTGTATTACTAATACTGTTACAACTTATATTACCACCACTACTGCTACTACCACTAGTATTATACCTTAGTCTGAGCCTATATATACCCTCTGTGTCCATGTATTGTTTGTAATGGCTTGATAAAGCTCCTGAAGAGCGAACTGTTGCCACAATAGAATGTCACATTAGTTGCCCTTGTGTCCTTTTACTTTACATCCTTAGATTTCTTGAGATAATGTGTTAAATTAGGTGCATAGAAACTTAGAAGATATTAAAGTTTTTGAAGGTTAGGGAAAAATCAGTGGTAACATTTTAAATTTTATTCAAATGTATGAGAAATTTAAGGAAAAATGAAAACCAATAAGGATTTGTTTAAAGTTTTCTTAAGCTACATGGTTAATGTTAATAAGAAATTTGATGCCAATTAATATACAGTGGAGTCCTCAGCTTACGAATTTAATCTGTTCCGTGACCTTGTTCGTATTCTGATTTGTTTGTATGCTGAGTCAATTTTCCTCAAATAACAAAAAAGGCACAATACCGTGACTGGAACGATACACAAATAACCCGCACATAGAAGAGAGGAGCTTATGATGATGTTTCGGTCCGACTTGGACCATTTACGAAGTCACGCACAATTTTCCTCATTTAAATTACGTAATTGAAATACAATTAATCCGTTTCAGCCTCTCAGGAGGCGTGACAAAATAATGCTAATATCAACTCTACGGCTTAGTTATCTATCACAATTCATCTAACGTGACTGTTTCGGTCATATATATACGTCTTACAAGCCACCGTGCTTGACATATATACAGTGGACCCTCAACCATCGATGGCATCGATTAACGATGAATCCAACTAGCGATACATTTTAATGCAAAAATTTTTGCCTCGACTAGCGCTAAAAAACTCGACCAACACTATTCGTTCCGTCTGAGACGCGTCCACTTCTGGCCAGTGTTTACAAGCCAGCCAGCCACCGCGGTCGCTTTCAAGTATACAATTCAATTCAATTAAAAGTTTATTCTCTATAAGGATTACAATGCTGAGTTTACAGCCTTTTTAGTGATTGCACCTGCAAAATAAGTCACCATGGGCCCCAAGAAAACTTCTAGTGCCAACCCTACTGCAAAAAGGGTGAGAATTACTATGGATATGAAGAAAGAGATCATTGCTAAGTACGAAAGTGGAGTGGGTGTCTCTGAGCTGGCCAGGTTGTACACAAAACCCCAATCAACCATCGCTGCTATTGTGGCCAAGAAAACTGCAATCAAGGAAGCTGTTCTTGCCAAAGGTGCAGCTATGTTTTCGAAACTGAGATCGCAAGTGATAGAAGATGTTGAGAGACTGTTATTGGTGTGGATAAACGAAAAACAGATAGCAGGAGATAGCATCTCTCAAGCAATCATATGTGAAAAGGCTAGGAAGTTGCATGAGGATTTAATTAGAAAAATGCCAGCAACTAGTGGTGATGTGAGTGAATTTAAGGCCAGCAAAGGTTGGTTTGAGAGATTTAAGAATTGTAGTGGCATACATAGTGTGATAAGCCATGGTGAGGCTGCCAGTTTGGACCAAAAAGCAGCTGAAAAATATGTGCAGGAATTCAAGGAGTACATAGACAGTGAAGAATTGAAACCTGAACAAGTGTTTAATTGTGACAGTGACAATGTTGTGAAACACTTTAGGAATGTCATAAAGGAACGGGAGGTACAGGCTTCTATGGACAGATATGTTGTGCGACAGAGGTCCAGTGACTCAAGCTGTTTCTAGTGGCATTAAAAGAAGAAGGGAAGTAACTCCGTAAAAGGACTTGCCACCTCAAGTCCTAATGGAAGGGGATTCTCCTTCTAAACACTAACACCATCAACACTCTCCCCTCCTCCCATCCCATCAATCATCACCAGATCTTCAATAAAGGTAAGTGTCATGTAACTGCGCATGTCTTCTTCAGTTTGTGTGTATTAAAATTAATATTTCATGTGGTAAAATTTTTTTTTTCAGTACTTTAGGGTGTCTTGCACGGATTAATTTGATTTCCATTATTTCTTATGGGGAAAATTAAATCGACTAACGATAATTTCAATTAACGATGAGCTCTCAGGAACGGATTAATATCGCTGGTCGAGGGTCCACTGTATACTCATAAATTCTAGTGGCTTCAAATCAAGCAGGAGAAAGCTGGTAGGCCCACATGTGAGAGAATGGGTCTGTGTGGTCAGTGTGCACCATATAAAAAAATCCTGCAGGACGCAGTGCATAATGAGAAAAAAAAAACTCCAACTTTTTTTTTTTTTTTAATTAAAATCTGTGGTCTATTTTTGTATAGTATTTATGGTTGTATTCTCGTTTTCTTGGTCTCATTTGATAGAATGGAACAAATATTATATAAATAGAGGTGATTTTGATTGGTTCTACTATGAAAAGAACCTTGAAATGGAGCTCAAAATAGGGGAAATGTTTGATTTTTGCCGATGTTCAAAAGTAAACAAATGAGGTCATTTTCCAATAAATGTCCAAGTAGCCATTCTAATATGCAGTCATGAATGGGTTGACATTATTTATACAATTATTACAGTATTGCAGTAGTCTGCATAACAGTAAATCTTTTATTTTTTGTTTGAATAAAAATTCAAAATAGAAAGCAAGACTAATATCAGAGGGGCCTGGAGATGTGACTGATGAACAAAGGAAATGTTATTTTAGAGCCAGGAATGTCTGTATTGTTCATTCTGAACCCTATTTTGAAATTGTGAT